TACTAAGGTGTAATATTTCTAAAGCTGTGGCAACTACAGTAGCCACTAGGAAAAGGTCAATAAGCATCAGCAGTTGAAAACAGCAGCAAAATTAAACTTCAAAATGAGCAGTATCTGCCTGTTGTGCCATTTAACCTGGTCAGCATCACATTACTCTCCTGGCACTTTCTTTGTTTCTCATTAACTGCAACAAGATACCATGTAAATTTGTCCTTTATCCTTTGTGTTTGTCTCTGGTCTTCCCATTACTTTGGCTGTTACTTTATTAGCCTCTGTTAGTGCTAATTGGAAGACCAATGGTATCCTGGGGTGTATTGGGAAGAGTGTGGCCAGCAGGTTAAGGGAGGTGATCTTCCCCCTCTACTTGGTCCTAGTGAGGCCACACCTGGAGTACTGTGTCCAGTTCTGGGGTCATCAGTGCAAGACAGACTGGGAGTTTATGGAGAGGGTCCTGCAGAGGGCCACAAAGATGATTAGGGGTCTGGAGCATCTCTCTTATGAGAAGAGACTGCATGAGCTGGGCCAGTTTAGTCTAGGAAAGGCAAGACTGAGAGGGGATCTCATCAATAAATACAAATACCTCAAAGTTGGGTGTTAAGAGGATGGTGCTAGACTCTTCGGTGGTGCCCAGTGACAGGATAAGGAGCAATGGCCATAAACTAAACCACAAGAAGTTCCACGTCAACATGAGGAAGAACTTCTTTACATTGAGGATGGCAGAGCACTGGAACAGGCTGCCTATGGAGGCCACAGAGACATCCAGGCCTCTCTGGAGCCATTCAAAACCTACTTGTGTGTATTCTTGTGTAACCTGCTCCAGCTGATGCTGCCTTGGTAGGGGGGTTGCAGTAGATGATCTCCAGAGGTCCCTTCCAACACTAAGGAATTCTGTGATAAGGTTACACTTGGGTTAACAAACAAAAAAGTCTTATGATAGGAACATCCCTATGGACTGGTTACCAGAAGTTTCACTATTTCTATATTTGACCATCATATACTTACCACAGACGAACCAATGGCAGTGAAAATAAACCTGGTGATTTCTTGTGAATACTGTTCAGCACTCACCAATACCATATATGCTTTTGCTACATTTCCTTTTGCCCCTCAGGAAGCCTGCCTGACATCTGGCAGAGTTACCTTTTGCTGTGTGCAACATTCCTCCCCATATGCTTCTGAATGTGGGTAGTAGCATCTTCTAACAGAAAAGTTGGACTCTGTCCTGTTCAGTGCATAAACTAAACTGTGATTGGTTTTGGGGCTACATGTATATACTTGTCCATGGCACATGGACATTCTTTTCATAAGCATGCTGAAAGCCCAGTCAATGCATTATCTCTTCACAAGTTCAGTACCAGAAGTTTTGAACTTGCAACAATTTTCAGTTAGTTGTTCAACATTTCTTGTAAAGGAACAATTTATTTGTGGTACCCACAGAGGTCTTGTCTTGAATCTGTTTGATGTGCTGGTGCTACTTGTACACTCTCTCAAGTGCTGGCTTTTGTTTCCTCAATATCTTACCAGAACGGCTCAGATGCCTCCCAAACACTGCAGTGGTTCTTCCTTGTGTTAGTTTCTTCTCTTCGGTAATTACAATCTGGTGTATTGGCAAATCCTTGCCGTTTTCTTAACATACCTCGATTTCATCAAACAGTTTCTGTACATTTGCCTATGTCTTTAGCTCTTACATACACACTGTATCTTCATCTCAATGTTTTTCTCTGCAGACCTGGAGTTACAGAGTTTCTGTCTCCAGTATGTAAAATTGCTAACAGTTTTCTGCCGAGCTGACTTGTGTTCTCTTTTCTAGACACTGAATCTTGTTAAAGCTTCTCCACGAGTAGCTCCACCTCACTGTGACCAGACTGTCTGAAGTCCTGCTAGTCTAATTTGGCGCTACCTGGCCTGTAACTATGCCATGATGCAACCACATCTGACTGATTAAGACTCAGAATTTGACACAAAACTCTCTAGAGCCTTGTTTGTTTCAGTGCAAAGCTAGAGTGAAGAACCAGGGATTGGCCTGCTTGGGCACATAACAATAAGCTAATCTTCAGTTTTAGTTTATTTGTGTTCCTGCCAACACAAAATAGAAAATGGAAATCCATAAAAAATGGAGTGGGTATAGAATTTAGCTTATCCCATGGTGAACTGATGAAAAGAGTGTGCAGGGGAGTGGAGGAAGTGTGGATGATAGGCTGGAAAAAAAGAAATTGGCACAACAGAGCAGGGAGAATGATATGGTGAAGCAGATTTCCATGTTGAACTTTGAATGCTGGAAGTCCCTTCCACATAAAACTTGGGAGATCAGGCACACTGATTGGCTAGGGTCACTCTATACAGTGCGAGGAGATCTGAAATTAGCTTCAGAAAGTCCATGGAGAATTCTGTCTTTATCCCAATATTAATCGAGTAACACCTTGTATTGATCTCCTTTATTTCTTCTCTTCCCCTATTTATAACTCACACAAACCTGTTTCTCCAAGCCCCAAACTTTCCGCAAAGCTATCGTAGTTCACTTTTCTCAAGCTTTCCAGTGGATAAAAGCTGTGCCAGCTACAGTAGCTTCTGGACTGGGCAGGGAGTTCTCTGCTTGCTTTGTTTGGAGTGTAGTATTGCAAGTGTTTAAGTCCATGGTTGCATCTTTTTTCCACCTGCAGTCTGAGAGCAGAGCTGATGTCCTTTTGCTTATGGAAGAGAATATGGGCTACAGGGTATACATTGTTTTCCAGACACAGATTTAATTAACTTCACTGCATAAACATGAAAACAGGAAGAAACATAATTCCAACAAGATAAGGATTTAAAATAAAACACAGCTGTAGAAACATCACAGTTATGGCAGGATTTGTATCACATTGAACTAATTTATGCTTTTATATTAAAGAGGAGCTTTCACTTTGGTTCAGTAAAAAAAAGTACAAAAGAAAGGGAAAATATTATTTCCAAGCAAGAAAGTTTACTGTGAGGATAGTTTTTGGTCTTTTGTTTAGCCTGTCTGTGGCTACTAACCTCACAAGGTAGTGGCCAGGTTATAACAACTGATAGGATAAGAACTTACAAATAATAGGAGCAGTGCCTTGGTGTTGTAAGGCTAGAGGGGGAAGAGTATTTGCGCCACCTAGATTAAGACATCTGGTAACTAAATTAAGAGGCTGGCATTTGCAGGTTCTTTGTACAGTTGGACAGTTATTCTTCCCCTGAGACTATTTAAATCCCATGTCTGCTTCTGGCTGAGGCACTTATTCTGTACTGACCACTGAGGAATCGTGAAGAGATTTGCTGTTAATTTAGGCATCAGTGTTGCATGTCAGATATTAAGTAGCGTGGAATCCCCTGTTGTGTCCTTATCTTGCCTGGAGGTTAGTTGAACCTACGGCTCCAGATTTCCACAGGCAAGTCCTTGGATGCATGAGCAGTGCCCTTCAAAGTAAACAGGGCAAAAAGCAGAACGACAGAACACTTGCATAAGGAGTGCTCACCTGCACTTCCTTGCAGTTTGAAGTAAGAAGTTCTCTGCTATGCCCCTCCTTACTCTTTCCTAGCATCTTGTCCCTAGAATACCAGTTTCTTTCACAGAAAAACTCCAAATAATGGCATAAATTTATGAGCATAGGACACCAGTAGACTAATGGTCTCAAGTCTTCAATCAGCATGCAGTTCTAATCCAGGCACCAGCTGACTAGAGGCACTCTTCTCCTGGGAAAGCAGAGCAGGTATGTCTCCTCTGGAGTTGGTTGCTTTTGCAGTTCCAAGGCTACTGGCTTCCTAGAAGCATATCCCAAATATCAGACTTACTGTGTGTGTGAAGAACATGTTTTTCTCATGCAGGAACCTAGCTTGACTCACTTGTGTCATGTGTTGCCATGTAAACTCTTCTTCAATAGACATGATTTACCTGTCCAGAACTAGGGAGGCCTCCTCTCAGTATGGTGCTCATAGTCTCCAAAATCCTTCAGAGATTCCTGATATTTTTATCACACAGAATCTTGCATAGCAAATACCAAGGTAATTTTCATTCTGACCTTACTGGTCTTTGCTGGAGTGCTTTTATTGGTTCAGTGCTGTTTTTCTTGGAGGGGTATAATTTTTCAGAAACAAGCTCATGTTTTTTAGGGATGCATCATTGTCTTGTGCAATCAGTAGACTTGGTGTGTGCAGTTACTTGAAAAATTGATCACAACATTGCCAGTTAAAAGCCCACTTTGGCAAACATCAGCAACTGAATAGTGATATGATAGACATAAAATTTAAAAAAACTAAAATCAAAATACTATAATTTAGCCTACAGTTAAAAGAATTGTATCTTAAAATAACTACACTGTTAGCTAACAGATAAATCCTTGGGTTAAATGGTCCCAGTAAGATAAAGGTCAGTCAACGTTTCCATCAGAGAAGAGATATTAACTTGATGTATCTCATATTCATCCTCAAATTCCTTTCTATCTAAACATCTTTTATTCACGTAGGTAAAATAAGGCGTAGGAGGGTAAAATGAAGAAAACTAAAAGCCTGTCAAATGCCAGACCCTGCTGCAAAAATAATACAGGCACTTCCAAAAGGTGCTTCATTAATGTTGAATACTAAACAGGTAGATCAATCTCCAAAGCTTCTTCACAGTGCTTATCTTACGATGCTCACATAACAGAAATGGATGTTGTGAGATGAGATATTGCTCCTTAGTCAATTCAATATTATACTTTCCCCAGGCAAATCTCACTGGATAGAATTAGATTTTGTAAAGAAACAGAATCATGCTATTCTGGGCTCCACTCACATCTTGATGTGATCCAGCTATGGTGTTAATGTTGCCTGGAGAGGCCATTGATTCTCTTAGTTCAACAATGGAAAATGCTGTAATCCCAAGGACCAGTTAACCACAAGAATTGAAGGTCATACCATTTCAGTAGTGGACAATATAAAGATCTTAAATAATGTCAGACAGTCCTTAAGACAAAGTAAGTGATGCAACATTTACTAACTAATGTTCTGATGTACTTTTACAGTCCAGTTGAGATGTCATGCTCTGCAGTGGATGGTGTGATTGTGGAATTGACTCTTTCTAATTTTTCATGATACAGACTTGGACATTTTTTGCAAAGGAGGGCTGCAACATTCTTTCGGAAAAAGGCATAAAGATATTGCCTAAATTTTTCTCCAACAAATGCATAGATAACAGGATTGATACAACAGTGGATCATTGAGACTGACTCCGTCACTTGGATTGCTTTCTCTAGTTGACCTTTAAGTTCACAATTTGGCGTGAAAAGTGAATTTTGAAATGTATACAAAAAAGAAGAGATATGGAATGGTGTCCAGAAGATGAAGTAAAATATCATGATCACAAAAATAAGTCTGACTGCCTTCTTTTTTTTCTCATTCTTGCATCTCAATAATGTTTTTAGAATTTGAGAGTAACTGAAAATCATAATGAGCATTGGAATAATAAGTCCCAAAATGTTAATCTTTAAAGTATAGGAGTACTTCCAATTTAATGCAGCATCACTTGGATAATGAGAACTGCAAGTACAAAGTGAATTTTCCTTCTGAGTTTTGTGAAATACTACCCCAGGAACAGAAGCAAAAACAGCAACAGCCCAAGTGACAGCACTGGTGAGGATGCCATAGGTAACTGTCCTGGCTGTCAGAGCAAACACTGCGTGCACTATGGCCAAGTACCTGTCTAGGGTCAATAGGATTATGAAAAAGATGCCACTGTAGAAGCCAAGGAGGTAAACACCTGAGAGAATTCGACACAGTGCCTCCCCAAAAATCCAGTTGTGAGTAGCGGCGTAATAAGCCCAAAAAGGGAGAGAAAACACAAAGAGCAAATCAGAAATGGCCAAGTTGAGCAGGTAGATGTCAGTCATACCCTTCAATTTCTTGTATTTTACCAGGATAAGGACAACAAGCATGTTGCCTGTCAGGCCAAATATCACCACCAAAGAATAAAGTGGTGGCAAAAGTTTTGCTGCAAAGTGCTTTTCCTCAGTTCCAGAGCAAGGTGTTGAATCACCATAGTCGAATTCTGTTGTTGCTGTCCAGTCGATGAAGTCTGTGGTATCATTTCCCATGGTGTTTTGGTCTGGAAAGGAAGAAAAGGGTATTAAATTAGAGGAAACTCTAAGCTTGGAAGAAAGAGGTACAAAACATGTTGATGTTCTCATCTGGAATGTGTTTTGCTGATGAGCACACAAACATTGACTAGGTGTGAAAGAGGATGGAATTGCAGAGCTCCCAGGAAACCAACCTATACACCTGTGATATCACATTGTTGGAAATGTGCTGTGTGCCATTTCCCCCATGTACACTGTCTGGTGCATTTTTCCTCCTTGAGAGAGCCTGTCAGCTGCCTGACCCAACCAGAAGCAGAGGAAAGATAAATTTAATCCAAGTCATGGGTAGTTTGGGGCTGTCATGCTCACCAGTGGCTCTCAAGAGGAATGGAAAAGGACAGCAAGGCAGGCACAGGAAAATGCAGTATCTGACTCTCCTTGTGACTTGACCACCTGGTGATTGTGCTGACCCATACTGTAACCATCACCCAAGGAGGACCAGGCACTAGCCAGGTGCAAATGGTGCCCACAAAGGTGTGTGACATAGGTGAAAAACAGCTGACTTGCACTTGTTCAGGTTATTTTTGCCTTCCCAGGAGCCTTAATACCTATGGGAATCAGGTCACTGGACAATACTAAACATACCCTCCTGGTGGACCTGCTGTCCTGGGTGTTGCAGAGCAGCAAGTCAGCAGCGTTGGTCTGTGTTAAAACAGCAAACACTGTGTCCTTTACAGAGTCTGGGCCAGGTGTAGCCAATGGAAGTGTGCTGGTTTCAGGTAGCTCTGGAATGAAAATGGTGCACGGTCCTGTAGAGAGAATAGAGACCCAAACAGCTTGGCAAAGTGTGTAAAAGATGACAGTTGCTGTCATTGTGTCCTCTGGCACCTGTATCTGCTGTGGCATCTTCCTATCGGTTGAACGACCTCCTCAGTGCTGCTCAGGGGTGGAAGGAGGTTTGATTCTTTGTTTCAGTGGCTGTTTAGCAGCCGTGATTCAGGAGATGCAAAGTTTAGACTGACTGAGTGTCTTGGAGGGAGCACAAAGGCAAAAGGTAGATTCCTATGAGTGTACACTACAGTTCTTCATGTGATACTGTCCTTCATCCTTTAACTAGGGAGCAAGATACTTGCTGCCCATGGCAGGTTGACAGTTTTGAAATTGGCATTTCCCAGGTAATTTGATGCCTGTTCTTTGACAAAGGCAACAGACTGCTCCTGACACAGCAGTCATGCAGCAGTGTTTGCTCCTTTCCTGAATGCTTTTTTTTTTTTAATGGTGAGGTCTACCCGATTGCATTGCAGATGTATTTTGCAGAGACCACATTCTCAAAACCATGACTTCGTTCTCTCTGCACTTGAGTTCTTCAAGACTAAATGTAACTGAAGAAACTCAGCTTGTGGCTGTAGTGATACAGGGACAGGCCCCTGGTCTCCTTTTTTTATAGACAGTCAATTTAGTTACACTGTGGACCATTCTGAGCTGTAACATGAAATTTTTGAAGTGTCTTTTTGCAGAGACCACATTCTCAAAACCATGACTTCGTTCTCTCTGCACTTGAGTTCTTCAAGACTAAATGTAACTGAAGAAACTCAGCTTGTGGCTGTAGTGATACAGGGACAGGCCCCTGGTCTCCTTTTTTTATAGACAGTCAATTTAGTTACACTGTGGACCATTCTGAGCTGTAACATGAAATTTTTGAAGTGTCTTAAGCTCATGTCAGCCAACTCAGCTGTTTGAGCAAAGGTTAATTTCCTGATACATAATTACAGACCATTCAGGATCCAGAGGACCTGGTTTTAATCTGGATTTTTAGCTGAGTGGATATATAAATATGACAAACAATCTACTTGAACAAATTTTATTTATTACATTGTGTTAAAACAGTTTTCTGTGTGTATATGCATAAGTATAAATATACTCATATACATATGTAGTTTCATAGAATTGTAGTATCGTAGAATTGTAGTATCGTAGAATTGTATTATCATGGAATTGTTTAGGTTGGAAAAAACTTCTAAGACCATTGACTTCAACTGTTAACCCAGCAATGCCAAGTCTGTTACTAAACCATGTCCCAAAGAGCCACAACTACACATCTTTTAAATACTTTCAAGCATGATGGTGACTCAGCTGCTTCCCTGGGCAGCCTGTTCCAATGCTTGATATGTCTTTTGACAAAGAAATCTTTCCTAATATTCAGTCTAAGCCTTGCCTAGTGTACTTAGCCTTGTTGAAACTTTGTATTTGTATAGAAAGAAAGTGATTTTTTTTCTTGCTAGTTTGGAACTTACTTTGACATGTAAAAACAGCAGAAAATAATCGTGGGAGCAATAGAACTAATGGTAACTGATTCCCTACAGATCTGATTCCTTTTCTGCCCAGGTCTTATGTCCTGTGAGGGGGTGACCTTGGCCAGCAGTGATGGCTCCATTTAGTCACCCACTGACTTCCCCCACAGCAGGGTGGGGGAGAGAAACATAAGTGATATAGCAAGAAAAACTCACAGGTTGAGATAAATATAGTTGAATAAGAAAACAAAACTGAAAAACCCACAAGAGATGATACAAGGACAAATGCTTGCCACCTACTTACTACTAAACAGACATATGGCCAGCCAGTGTCTGAGCAATGCCTACTTTGGAAGAACTTCCCTCTGTCCCTTGTTTTATTGCCGAGCGTGATGTTAGATAGCACAGAATATCTGTTTGATCAGTTTGGGTCACCTGTTCCAGCTGTGGTCACAAATCTAAAAGACAGCACCATAAGGGCTGCTGTGAAGAAAATAAAGTCCATCCTAGCCAGACCAAGTTCATCTTCCCACTACCAAAATTGAGCTCCTGCCCTATACAATTCACACTGATCCTGGCTAGAAAGACTGCATGTACTGTAGTTGTTTTGTCTACTATCTCTGACCTGATGGGAAATCTCTGAGCATTGCATGTCCTAGATGTCAGATCCTCCTCTTCACAACAAGCACAAAATATTAAAAATATATTCTGAAATGCTGTTTCAAAAATTCCTTCTCCTTTGCACACAATGTTAATCTCAAGGAATTCTAGAAAACTGTTCTGGCTAAAAAAAATTCTATTAGAAATTACTGTTTGTACTAGATTTTCTTTCCATTTATCTTTAACCATTTTTCTCATTTTAATTTTCATGCAGAAAGGAACATCTTCCACGGATGATGAAGCCCTTGCCAAGAAGTCTAGTTTTGACTCTAAAATTATCTAGGTGTGACCCTTCAAAAATGGGTGTGTTGCAAAGAAATCTCCAGGTTTATCTCTGCTCTTGTGCTGTAAGTATAAACATTTCTGTAAGTAATTCTGAGAGATTCTTGTTTGGGAAATTGTGATTATTTGGCTTGTTTACCCCTTATTTTCCTTCAAAAAATAGCAAATGAATGGTCAAGAAGTCTTAATTATTTTCATTTGAAGGGCTTTCTCATTTTCTGGACTTCATGTGGCCATCAGTGCTTACTGTTCCGCCCAGACCCCTCCAAGTTTCTGCTTGCACAAGGTAGTTTTGATTGCTAACAGAAATTCTGAATTACTTTTGCTAAAGTGGGCAACTGTGTTAAGCCTAAGGTAGAAATACAAGAGGAGAACTTTCTCCTTTGTGCCCTCCTTCCCTTCTAATTTATCCTGTGCTCTAACCATGCAAAAGCATCTAAGTGTATGAGCAGTTCAAAAAGAGGCTACTGTTGTTCCCCCTCAGAAGACTGGCTATGCTCTGAGTTGCCAAAGAAGCTGGAAACAGAGAGGTGTGACCAAGCCATGGGTCAAATACCTGCACCCTGGAAAAGAGTCCTTGCAGAGAAAATGGGGTTACATTCTTGGGAGAAAATTTGATTTGCTTAATAATAGTAATGTGGTGAGCCAAAATCAAGATAATTTCATTTCAGATTTTAACAAAGCTGCACTTAGGGCCACATCAGTGATTCTTGTAATGAGGACGTAGCTATGAATCATCTTTCATCTTTCTGTATTTTGGCTGCTTTGAGAGAAGCCTTGCAAGCTCTTGAGCATTAGTTGGTATCTATAGTGTGTCACCTTTAGCTATACAAGTGTCTAGGTGTTGGTATGACTATCAAGCATTTCCATGTAATTCAAGCAAAGAGGCTCCTGAGTTACTACAGTGACCTATTCAGGGATGACAGTTGTCACAGCTCAATGTGTCTGCTGTGCCCTAAAGGGGATTTTGACAAAGTTTACTCGCAGAAATCAGAACATGTAATAACTACAAGTTAGAAGAGAGGATCCATGAATTAGTGGTGCTGCTTATCTCAAAACTCAATGACCCCCAAAGTTCATTTTCTCTTTTTATAGTCTAAGACAAGATTTCTCTTTTTAAATGTACAAAGAGGGAACACAGTGCTACTCCCTCTGCCCTCACTCTCCTCCTTTCACAAATGCCAGCATTTGTCATACTGAAAAAGAAATTGCCTAACGACTTGTAGTTGCCTTAAATGTATGTGTCAGCAGCATCTAGGGCACTTTATGAAGAGAGAGAAGTACAGTGTAGCACAGAGTAAAACTGAAATGACAAAAAAATAATACCCCATATTCTGATAGCAGATATTGCAAGAGGGGTACTCAGTCTTTTCTTCTAACAGCTCTGTCTCCATAACTTTGCCTTTGACTTTCTGGGAGGAGCAAAACTACAGAGAAAACTGTGCACAGACACCAGAACTTACTTGGAGAGACAAGCATAAAAGTGTGAACTTTTCTTGAGTTACCAATAAAACTGAAGGAAAAGATGGAAGTGTAAACTCCATGTAAGACTCTGAACTGATAGTTTCCCTCAAACATATCTTTTCATGTGGTAGTGACCACAGGATTTCTTTCTAGGGTTTGACTGGGGAAAGAGCCCCTTCCAAAATGAAACCTTGCTTGGGAAGCCTCTTCCTCTTTTATAACAGCTGACCATTGGAAACAATCAGAACTGCTTGCCTCCTAACTGATGAGTTTTTTCATCCCTGCCGAACTTTCAAGGAAAAGTGTCTTCTGGGCTGGAAA